AACATTCAAACAACCCAAAAAAAAAAGTTAGTTTCTATAAAAATATACCAATCAACACCAAAATAAGAATGATAAATAAGAAAATCATAATAAAATAAAGGGATAAAGAACTGTATCAGCAGCAGCTTCTTAATTCATGAGCTGATGCCCATCTAGCACGGCCTCCCAACCCTGCAATTCAAAGTCCCAGCAAACCTGGTCAATCTCCTCACAAAAGTGCCAGGCTTTGCCTTTATCATCTGCTGCTTCGTAAACCTTCTCCTAAACTCCTTCCCCGACTGAACAAAGAAAGCCCCGTTCAACATCAAATCCCCCTCCGATCTCCAATTCCATTTCCTCCATTCTTCCTTCCCCACACCATCCCTATGCGTCACCTCCTTCGCCGCCGCATTCGGCGGCGCAATGTATCTGTTCCCCTGACTCACTATCGTCGGATGACTACTGCCCCCAACCGCATACATCAACCAGTGAGTATAATCATTGTTCACCACATGCACAAACCCCCACCTGCACCTCTCTGCACCAATCCCCTCCCAAAATGATTGAAAGCTACAGTTACCTGCATCAACGCATCCTGCGGATACGAATCGCTGGCCCCAAACAGGAACACGTCGTTGTGCTTCGTCATATGGCAGTTCGACACCGTGATCGCCGTCGATCCCATTATAGCGTCGATCAGCCCGTCGGCGCAGTTGGACATGGAGAGGTGATCGATCCAGATGTTTGAGGATCCGTAGATCGAAATCGCGTCCCCGTCGCTGCGGGTGCGGAGGCCGTAGTGGTGATTGGAATCGCGAATCAAGCCGCCGTTGCCTGGTTTAATGTCGTGGATGTGGAGATTGTGGATGATGATGTGGTGAACGAATTGGATGGTGATTTGGGCGCCGTAAGCGATGTGGACTCTGGCTCCGCGGCCGTCTAGGGTTTTGTGGCTGTTGATGATGAGTTCTTGGGAGAGGCGGATGAGCATGTCGCGGGAGAAGAGGATCCAGAGGGGTTCGGATTGGATGACGGCGTGGCGGAGAGTGCCGGGGCGGGGGTTGACGAGGTCGTGATCAGAGGGATCGGTGTAGAAGGCGCCGGGGCGGCCCGCGGGCGGCGAGGCGGCCGAAGCCTTTGGAGCAGGTGGCGAGGCGTTTGCGGTGGTGAGCCCAATCGGAGCGGCAACGCCAGCACCGATCGATGGGGTTGGTGGCGCGGCAGGGGCCCCGGTACTTCTTCTTGTTCCTGCTGCTTCCTTTTACTGCCCATAAGCCCCTCCTGTTGCTGCTTGTTTCGTTGGCACCCAAAGCCCTGCGTTTAAAGAGTCAATCCGATAAATTCCGATTTATCAGATTTAAATTGTGTAATTCTAGAATAATGTTTGTAGGGGTATAAAGGAGTCCGAGTGGAGCTCTGAGTCGTGCACGGCTTGTTTGTCAAATTGTGAGCTCGAGTGTGAGTTGAACTCGAATGACGAGTCGAACCCAGCTCATAGCGGTAGCAACAGATTTACAAGCTAGTTCAATTTCTACCAGAGCTTATTGGAGAAGGTTGGGCTCCCGAGCTCGAACTAAAAATTCAATTTCTTACATGAGCTTGCCAGAAGAGAAAGTACTGATTGGAGGAGAAGGATATAGCAGTGGCTCACCGAAAAATATATTAGGCTCTTGAGCTCAAGCTTTTGGCTCAAAAAGCTTGGCTCGTGAGCCTGTTGACGAGTTGAGATTGACCAGACTCGTGAGCCGACTCAGTTCATTTACACACCTAAATAATTGGTTCAATTTAAGGTTAAATTCATTAAATTTTTTTACCATGTTTTACATATGCCTGCTCGCGTGACTTTCCTCCTAAGCTACAACGACAACAACAACAACAACAAAGCCTTAATCCCCCTACTTGGGTTCAGCTACATGAATCATTTTTCTCCATTGCGTCCTATTTAATGTCATATTTTCATTTAATTATAGTAAATTAAGATCATTTTTTATAGAATAAGCACAAGTCTTCCTAGGTCTACCTCTACCTTTCTTAACACAAGTTCAATCTAAAAACACCTACTCGCCTAATCGGATCATTAGATGATCGACGTTTAATGTGACCAAACCATCTAAGACAAATCATGTAATAATCGGATTTAATAAATTCAAACTTACATTTAAAAAGTAACAAAAAAGAACAAAAAAAAATGAATTCAGTGAACTAGCATATTTTATTTCTCAAAACTTTTGTTTAGTGGATTTACGTGGATTAGAGCGTAAATCCTGCTCAAATCCAATCACCCAAAGTCTGTTTAACAAAAATAAAAAATTCAAATTATTAGGTGCGGCGTCCGCATATGCAGGTCCGCCCAATTGGAGGAGATATAGGGTGGTGGGAGATCTCTCTCCTCCTATTGGGCGTCTGCACCTAATAATTTTTCCTACTTAAGGCAACCACGTTGCATGAGACCAAAAAATTACTAACTTGTGAACAGCCTCATTGAAGTCATTGGTGGTAGCAATGGGGTTCGGATTATAAGCCTTTTCAGCCTTCGCACGAGCAACTTGAGCACGTTTCTGCCAATACTCATCAAATTCACCAATATCAGAACGCACAACACCAACAACAACTAAGAGGAAGAAGAAGATCATGAAAAACAGAGAATGAGATTGGTGAGACAAAACAACAAATTTCTCCATTCTCTTCTTTCTTTTTCTAATTTCTTCTAATTATATGAACTTCAAAAGGAATAAAGTTCCTTTGAGAATAAGAATGGCGCAGTTAATTCGGCCAAGGGGACCATAGGATCAAAACTCAAATTTTAAAACAGTTTTTGAGAGAGAAAGCATATATAGTTGGTCCATTCGGTGGGTGGCGAAGGAAGAAGATGGTGCTTTAGGGTTATATATGTGCTTCAGGAAACATATGATGGGAGGAAAACAAGAGAAAGGCGACAAGCGAGGACAACCATTGATAACTCTGCACTAAATGAATCTCTCCCTCCTCTATCTGTTTTCTATTTTTATATTTATGTATATATACGGTTAAGAGAGGGAGAGAAACTAGGGGTGGGGGTTGATGGGGAATGGTGGGGAGGAAGCCTACTTGGATATATTCGTAATTAATAGATTTATCAGAGGTGAAATTTATAAAAACAGATTCATTGTTTTTATTTTTTTTCAACAGAAATATTATCTTAAGATGATATATATATATATGATTTTAATTATTATTTTAAAAAAAAAATTAGTTTACAGCTATGACACTTCATAGATTTAACCATAAAAGTCAAGCGCAACTTTGAAGGATGTCTTAACAACAAAACAGTGAAAAAATAGCTTTAAACAGACTCTTAATAGAATAAAAGGGCAATTAAATATATAGCACCTGAGACATTGCTATTCACAAATCAAGCAACCTCTTTCATTCATTTTTCAAATTCTCACTCTTGACTATTTTTAATATTTTTGAAAATTTTAATTTATCAAATATTTGTGTTATAGAGTGACTGAAGTTTCATAATTGTCTCGGTTTGCTATCATTCATATGCAATTTTTTTTGTTAATCATTTCGCAGTAAGCTTTGAAGGGCAAAAGGTGATAGATGTTTCCGGGCCCTAATAGAGGAAAGGGAGATTTACATAATTACCACTCAATTTCTATGTATTTACATTTTTAGCATCTAAATTTCAATCTTTTGCATGCATGTCACCTTATTTTATGTATGCAGGATGGTCTTTGAAACTTTTAAAAGTTTAAACAATGACATTTTTTTATCTGATATGAGAGGTTTGAGTGGCAGAAATGTAAAAAAAAAAAAAGTTTATCTTGGTGTCAGGCATGTAAATACATAAGAATTGTGTAGTATAAATATTTGAACATAAAAACCAAAGAAGATGATGTGGCGAGCACAGACCCGCTGGGGGCAGTTCGAGAGTCTGCATTTACCCACTCGGCTTCTACTAGCTGGCCGGGAGAAATGTAACTACATACGGAACAAAAGTTAAAAGGGCCACGAGGACGGACCTCACACGGATAATCCATTGAGACTCCACATCCAAGCTGGGCGGATGGCTAGAACCACCTAAATCTTAGACGAGCGGCTGGCACCTCCCAGCCAACCCTTCGGGCATAGTTGCTCAGATCATAACCCAACCTCATCGCCTAAAATACTTCCTATCATACCTACTTTACTAAGGGTACAAATGTCATCATTGGATTCCAATTCTATACATGAGGGCTCATTTCATTAATAATGGTGATGTGATGCGGTGATGCCCTTCCTCTCTTTCGCTCTTATTTCTTCTCAGGCATATTTAAATTCAACAATATCTAAATGTTGATAAAACAATAAAGTTAAAATTTTAAACAATTCATTCAACCTTTTGCCTATTCTTTTGTACAATTTTTATATCTTTAATAATAAAAATAGCATTTGAAAAATACAAAATATAAAAACCATGATATAATAGCATAAAGTAAATCACAAGAAAAACAACTAAATCAGCATTAAATGGACATTTTAACAAATTATTTATTAAACAACAATCATTTTAAAATAAATAAAGAAGAATGCAAGCGCACGAGTTAATTCATTTATACACCAAGATTTAAAAATATACGAAAATTTACGTACAAAACACTAAATTCTCATTTATTTACTCATCTCACACCCAAAGATTAATTTTTACAAGCTAAACACCTTTTCCTATGTATGAAAAAAATATAGGAAAAGATGTATTGCACTTTTTCGTAAAAATCAAAATATAGGTGTGAGATAAGTAAATACATAAGAATAGGGTGATATGTATGTAAATTTCCCAAAAATTTATTCAAATATGTTCAATTATGTGAAAAAAAAACATGAATTAATATTATATAAAAAAATATCAAATTGTTCATGTATCTGTTCACTGGAAGCACTATCTATCGTTTATAAAAGCTGAAGCACTTCAATCACAGAACATTCCCTTCAATTTTAGTGACAAATAAAGATGCCTCATCACACCTCATCTTAACTGCATTTACAGTCAACCAATCTAGAAAACTATGGGTGGAGTAACCATTTATTACAGCAAATATATACTACAAATAGCAACACTAAGGATCAAACCCTCAGATCCATCTTTGTTTTTCAACCAAAACCCCACCATTTACTTTCAAAGATGATCATTTTCACAAAATTTGGAAAAAAAAACGGAAAAAATCTTAACTTTAATCAGGAAGCCATGAGAGCTTTAATTGAATCACTCATTGCCCTTTCTCACTAATAGCATTCAACTGTGTCTGGTTTGACGGCGTCTGGTTCGGTGGCGTCTGGTTCGGTGGCGTCGGCGTAGCTGACGCACCATTTGAGAGATTCCTCTCCACCTGCTGTCCATTCCTTGATAAGGAACCTTGAGCTCTGAAGGAGCCATTCCTGGCATTCAGGTTACTATTTTTGGTTGCCTGAAAGGTCTGGAATAGGGAGGAAGAGATGGCCATGTCCTTGAGGTTTATCAGAGGTTTCAGAACTTCGACCACTTCGCTCATGAGAGGCCTGGTTTTAGGATCCCGGCTGAGACACTGGTTTGCGAGCTGGACGGCCTTATGTGAGGCTTTAATAGAGAAATGGCCCTCGAGCCGAGGGTCGATGAGCTGGTAGAAGCGCCGTCTTCCTCTTAGATAGGGGAGAGCCCATTCTACGAGGTTGTGCTCGCCGTGAGGTCGCTTCTTGTCCATGGATCGACGGCCGGTCAGAATTTCAAGGAAGACGACTCCGAAGCTGTAGACATCACTCTTTGATGTCAAATGCCCTATCAAAATGGAACAATACAGCTAGTGAGATAATAGATCTGTTTTTTCTGGAACTCAGATCACTTAAAAGAAGTTAACACTTGGAAAGCAAGTCTATTTTGATGTCAGCACCTGGAAAGTAGTTGAAAGTGAGTTTCAGAATTAAGTTCAAACGTTTATTTTTTGGAAAATTTACGTACATACCACTCAACTGCTATGTATTTACATATCTGTGAGCTGAACTTCAACTTTTTGCATATATGTCACCTTACATATGCATAAAAAAGTGCATTTCACTTTTTAAAAATCCAAATAATAATATGTTTTATGTGATATCAAAGATTTAGGCGTGTAAATTGGAAAAAAAAAATTGGTGTTATATATGTAAATACATAGCAATTGGGTGGCATGTATACCCCCCCCCCTTCCTATGAAAATCTTTCACATCAGCCTTACAAAAGGTATTGACTGAGTAAAACTTCCATTTAGTTGGTCTAAATAAGAGAGAACATCTTACAAGCCAAAGTTTTATTCTAGGCTCAAGTGTCACAGTAATCCCCAAATTGTTTAGATGGAGCCAACATAGTACCAAAGTCTATAAAAGTGTTAAATTAGTCCCCATGTTCTTTAAATTACGCCAAAATAGTCCTCCGTTGAGATCATTTCAGCTCATATTAAAGAAAACGGTGGACTAAATTGACACTTTTATAGGCCTGTCAGTAACTATTGCGATAACTTTTCTCTTTAATTCAATAAAAAAAGGGAACTGCTAGCAACTTGATTTCATAACATCCACATGAATCTAAATGTAGGCAGGTGAATCAATATAAGACGATCATAAAAATAAAATCTTTGTGCTGAGGCACTACTCGAAATTAAAAAGGTGAAACGGTGAACCGAACCAACCTGTCATGACATACTCGGGTGCAGCATATCCATACGTACCCATTACACGCGTCGACACATGAGTCTTATCTCCCTCTGGACCATCTTTGGCAAGCCCAAAATCAGAAAGTTTTGCATTATAATCCTGCGAGAACAAATATATTGCAAAGAAGCATGCGGAACATTATGCATAATGCAATACTTTTATCAAAACCAAAATTGCATACCACATCTAATAGAATATTTGATGTCTTGAAATCACGGTATATTACTGGCCTCTCCGCTTCCTCGTGAAGAAAGGCAAGGCCTTTTGCAGCATCAAGGGCTATCTTCATTCTGGTGGACCAAGGGAGAGGAAGAGATCCTGCAATTAATAAAATAGTTAGTAAAAGGGCAGATGTGTAAATTTTTATTTTGAAGGGAATAAATTCTTTGAACAAACACCATACTCAAGCCGTATGGTTTTTGTGAGCATCATCGCATGGGCCTAGCACGGCTGTGGGGGGTTCATTTACATACATAGCACCCAATTTCTAGGTACTTGCTGTGGGGGGTTCATTTACATACATAGCACGCAATTTCTAGGTACTTGCGTATCTAACATCCAAACACATACTTTTTATACTTTTACCACCCAAATCTTTCATATCAAATCAAACTTACCACTATTTTAACTTCAAAAAAGGTAAAATACACTTTTTCATACATAATTAAATGGCAAGTTACAGACCATGACAAAAAATTAAAAAAATAAATAAATAAAAGTTCCAGACCAAGATTGACAGACTAGAGAAGAGTTGAGGTCCATTTAAAGGGAAGCTGCAACTATCTCTAAAAATAGTTATAGACTCGTGAGAAAAATGTTTTTTTTTTTAAATTGGCTATGGGTCTAAAAAAATCTGATAATAATTTTTTTACAGCAATTACATTTTAACAGATTGCCTCTCAATAATGAATAAAGAAGGAAAGAATTGCACTAGTCAAGAACAAATTAAGGTGTATATAGTTACCAAAATGAGTAAAGTATCAAAATAACCACCTGGTTGTTTACATGGGATCATTTTAGACTCAGAGTTTATAAAAGTGTTAAATTAGTTCCCAAAATCTTTTAATGGGAACTAAATTAGTCCTCCCTAGAACTATTTCAACCAATATTAAAAGAGTCTAGGGGCTAAATTGACATTTTTATGAACTTTGAGAGTAAAATGCCCCCACTGAAAAAACTAAAGGGACAATTATTGAAATTTTTATGTAACCAAAACATTATATGCATATAAGAGTTAAGATATGTTCTACCATTTATACAATTTCAACTACATGAAGGAATAACCGACTCTTAGGAAGAGGAAAGTACCAGTCAGAAAAACCAATAACAAACCAATCTATTAACGCCAAGGTGAAATACAAGGAATTTCAGAATCAATCTATGGCGTTTACACGGTAGACTGAAAGTAAAATCCTAAGCTATCATTTATATAATTTCTGGCTTTTACTAAGTGTGTTATAGCGCTCTTTAAATAATTTAAATAAAGCAAATAAGGCAAGACTGTTACGAGAGCGCCTAGCCGAAGGGCAAATACGTCTTTTGTACGTCTAAAAGTAATTTAGTGTTTTATTATTTTTGTTGTTGAGTATAAATAGGTTTATATATCCAGGCCTCTAGGGTTAGGTTTTATGCAGGAGATTGAATTATGAGTCTTAGGTCTAGGATTTGGGAAAAATTTCCTACCTCTGGAATTGTAGAAATTAGGAGAGATCGTCTACCTCTCGAATTGTAGGTGTTTGTCTTTTGTATTTCCAGTTGTTTGGATTATTGCAATAAAAATTTATATTTGTCCTAATTTCTATAAAAAATTGTGTGAAATTCTACGTCGAAAAATTGGTATCAGAGCCTAACCATAGATGCAACGGCCTCCGGCCTCCTCTGCCTTCTCGCAGCGGCCCCCTTTCCCTCGCAGCCGGCCTCCCTGCAGGCTCAAACAGCTGGCCTCTCTGCAGGTGATTTGCTTCTGCCGCTGAAGAAAATCAGCCAGCCTCCCTGCAGGTGTTTGCGCCGTAATTTTTTTCTGCCGCTGAAGATCTTATCGTCAAGAAGAGCTTCTGCTGCTTATTCACAGGAATAGCTTCTGCCCGCTGATTTGCTTCTGCCACTGATCTACAGGAAGAGCATCTGCCGTTCTGCCGCTGATTTACTTCTTCCTCTGCCGCTGATTTGCAACTTTCTTTGCCACTGATCTGCAGCTTACCTGTTGCAGAAAGGAGCCTCCTTCTTACCTGTAGCAGATAGGAGTCTACTTATCGACGACCGGTATGCGTTTTGGTGATACAGACTCACGAATCAGTCGAAGGATTTCAGTGTGCAGGTATTTTGTTGCTTTGTGATTAAAATTTTTTTCGGAGCAATGGCAGCAAAAAGAGTGGATGATTTAGAGAAAAAGTTAGAGAAAGAGATCAGCCAAATCAGATATGGGATGTACGAAATATCACCGCCGTAAATGATAGATTTTCTTCCATGAAAAACTGAATGGAAGATTGATTTGAGAGAATGGGGTAAATTCGAGATATGTTAAAGAGGCTTATTTTCAATCCAAAAACCCGCCAACAGCTCAATTTACAAACCCTAAACAAAGGTTGACTAGAGAATCCATGACAAAAGAAAAGAGATCGAATGTGAGGAACATGAGGAAAATATCAGCCATCACAAACCTCCTATGAAGGCTCTGATTAGGGGCGATTAGAAATTTCTAATGAAGGCGTTGGGCCGAAACATGGAGAAGGGATTATGCCAGAGGTTTGCAGGAACACAAAGAAGAAGGGTGAGAAGCAAGGAGGGTATATCGCTACGGTCGAAGTAAAGAGTTGTGCCCTCGATACATGGAGAGAAACAACAGAGACAAAGAAAGTTGGGGTGAAGAAGTTAGAGTTGAAAGTTGAAAATGCAGGTCTTCCAGGGGGAAGACAAATATGGTGGGGTATACTTGGTGGAGTGATACTTCGCGGTGAATGAGTTAGATGAGAAGAAGAAACTCATGGCGGAAGGATTGTTTTTGGAGGGAAAAGCTTTAGCTTGGTTTCGGTGGAGGGATGTTAAATACCCAATTCGTTTTTGAGATAAATTTAAGGATTGTTTGTTGAAACGTTTCTGATCCATTCAGGAAGGAGATCTACACAAATAATTTTATGTATTGACTCAAAAGGGAACGGTCATGGAATACAGGGAGAGATTTGAACTATTGTCGGGTGACTGTGAGGGAAAGATCGAAGATTACAAGTTCTCATAGTGCAGGACGAGGAAACAGAGAATGATGAAATAGAGACAGCGATGGCGGAGGTAGAATACTCTCATTTTTCCCATCTTGAGGTTGTCGGCCGTTTTTTTTTTTTAACTTCGGGTTTTGAAAAAAAGTGATGATTTTGTGATTTTGAAAATAATTTAAATATAAATATAACCTTTTTGATTTTTTTAAATGTAACATTTTAATTTTAAAATAGGTGAGACCAAACGGGTCTCACATTTAAATAATTTAGATGATTGAATACAATACTACAAGTAATACACTTATCTCAATGAATAAATATATCACTTGTAATAGGGATTCAATCACCTAGACTAAAGAATTTGTGACATTCATATTGGTCTGCGAAATATTTTATAAAAAGACCAACAAGTTTCCCTACCTATAAAAATTAGATTGGGTTTATTTTATCTGGGTTTCAGATTCCCTATATAGGCAAGCCCCTATAGTTAATTACATATTAAATGATCGGAATCACTTAAGAAAACTCTCGATCAAAATTATGTGGTTTTGCTTTCAAGATTTCAAAGTTTAGGTTTTCACGATTGGTGGCTCAAAATAAGAACAATTATTTAAGGAATCCGAAGGGAAGAAAAGTAGGGGATATCACAGATCCAGGAGAAACCCCAGAGATGTCCCCACTATCCTATTGTTCGGCTTTATGTCTTTTGAAATAATGTAATTTGATATTTCAATCCTGCAAATTATTTATGATTTAGGACTTATGTTTACACAATATCGGACTGTGCAAATAGCCTAAAAAGATAGGAGGATTTACACCGTACCGCACGGTAACCTCGGAATACTAAAGTGTTAGGACTTATAATTGTACAATAGAGTTGTACAAAAAGCCTAAAGAGTGATCCTATAAGTTGTTATTTAAACTAAAGAAAGGTGCTAGGTGATGTGGATGTGTTTTGTTGCTACAGATCCACCTTGAAGTTGTTCCTCGTCGTGCTGCCCACGATGTTTGCTCCGAGCTTCTCGTAGTAGCACCTCCTGGTTCAGTTTTAGTTTTGAACATGCACCTAACCACTAGGTTATTCTATACTAAGGCATAGCATATCAAAGTAACTAAGCATGCAGTGTGAAAGTAAAGTAACAATGTACTGTACAGTAAAAAAGAAAGACAGTATGACATGCTGCAAAAAGAGTATAACATACTATAAAGAGTAGTATAATAGGATATAAAAACAATATAACATGCTGAGAAAATAAAATGTTGTAATATAAATTAAACTTGTACACTTGGTAGGTTCATTGCTCCTTTAAATTTAGTTATTAGGCGCTGTGTAAAAGAGAAAAGTATGACCTGAAAAAGACTTAACAGAAACAGGTAAATCGTAGGAAAAAGACAAACAAATAAAATGAAATACAATATCACATATAAATGACCAAGAATAGGAAATTTATATGTTATGAGAATGTCCACAATTGGCAGGAAAGGATTTGAGTGTAAGACAAACTCAAATCCTGGAGTATTGGGTTTCATTTTTGATGAAGTTAAGGTAAGAATTTCATTATTTGATCTAGTTAAATCAGTCATGAATCACAATCTAGTGCACCCTCGTGTCTAGTGTCCTAGTTATCTCATGAACTAGGGTCAGATGTCTGACATCTTAGGATCATTTGAAAATTAGGATGATAAACTCTCTTTTAAGGTGTGCTCCTAAGACCTAGGAAACATACACTTTAGTTTACTTGAAGTGTCTTAAAGTGTCTAACCTCAACTGAGTGTCTTTCAACTAACCCTCAAATATTTTTAGATTAAGCTTAACTCACCATCAGACTCCTAAAACCTAGGGGGTAAACCTATAGCTTTGGCAAAAGGGTTGTGAATTGTGATTCAAATCTAATTAGGGTAGTTGGATTTAAGTTGATTCAAAGCTTAAGGGACCTAAGTGCAGGTCTACTAATCTTTCTAATCCATGTTCTTAATTGTTATCTAAACTCTCACTTTCCTCCAACCCTGAAATATTCTTCCAATTTACATTTTCATCTTTCCTATACAAAAAGAAACGGTAGGTGGTTCGCTATTCTATCCCCTTTAGGTTTTATCACCTCGAAG